CCATCCAGGCTTCAGTGCTGAAATTCTATATTAACGTAATTCAGTGTTCATAGATAAACAGACTAGGAGTTGAAGGATGGATACCACTTGTTTAAGGCAGAGAAGAGCCTTTTTAAATCTGCACAGAGAAATGTTTCACTTGAGAGATGTACAGATGTTTGGAGCTCAGGTATGAATCATTGAGGCCAAATGCAACAGCATAGTAATTTCTTCAGCTGAAGAAACTTTAATTGCAGTTGAACTTAAAAAAATGTTGTTTGGGAAGAACACTGTGGTAAGTTTTCAGTCTGATCTGATTAATCCCAAAGATGCTCAGAACTGTGTTCATTCTGGGCCCTTGTTTGATATGGTGTAGTGCAATTCTCAGTCAATCGGTACATTGCAGTGGTCTTTAGAAGTCTGGGCAACAGGCAGCCTCAAAGTCAGAGCTGTTTTGAATTTATTGGAAGGGCAGGCTGAAGCTGATGTACTCTGGAGCTATTTAGGTAAAGTTATTCTGCTGCTGGTCATCTTTGGGTTCTAGCAGGAAATTTTTTTTCTCAGTTTATGTCTCATTTGAGTAATGGGAGGTAACCTGAGTAAAAGTTTTGTGCTACCAATGCTAGATCAGGCCTTTTAAGTATTTTCCATTCAGTCTAGTAATTACAAGGCCTAAATACAAACCAATGTTAAAATATCAAGGAAGTGTAACCTATTTGAAATTTAAAAAAAAATAAATAATCCAAGACTGTTTTTCAAAGGAAAAAGATAAACAGCACAGTTTTGACTTATTCTTTTGGAGTTTTAAATATTTCTCTCTTCCTTTTTTTTTTTTTTTTTCCAGGGACCATTCCTTTCTCTTCTGCTTGCCTTCCTTTTCTCTCCTTCCACACCCACCTTTGAACTAACCTTCACAAAATCCTATCATGCAGTGCCACATTTCATATTTCCTGCTCATACTGCAGGGAGCAATAGTGGATCTTTTTGTCTCACTGGCTTCTTGTTCAACCAAAACACTACATGTTTGTACTTTCTTGCATGTGTCTTTTGCTATGAGTCTTGTATGGCGATTTCATGAAGCTACAAAACTTTAGGGGCAAATCTTTAGCTGGCCTGTTTTTACATAGCTCTAGTTGTGCTTCTGATGGGTGTTGTAAATGGTATCACTCCTGTCAGCCTCTCTCTTGGAGGTGCTTCCTCAGCCAGGAAATTGTAGCCTTTAACATTGAAAGCAGATTGAGGGAAGAGTGTGAATTTAACTCTAGCAGTTGCTTCTGAATACGTCCATGCTTTCTTTGGATCAAAAATAATTTCTTCCTGATGGTTAATGCTAAGCAATTTGTTGTGGTTTAACCCGGCAGGCAGCTAAACACCACACAGCCGTTCGCTCACCCCGCCCCCTACCCCCCCCCCCGTGGGATGGGGGAGAGAATCAGAAAAAAAAAGAGGTAAAATTTGTGGGTTGAGATAAAGGCAGTTTAATAGGACTGAAAAGGAGGGGGAAATAATAATAATGATAAAAGAATATACAAAATAAGTGATGCACAATGCAATTGCTTACCACCCGCCAACCGATGCCCAGCCAGTTCCCGAGCAGTGGTCACCCCTCCCTCAGCCAACTCCCCCCCAGTTTATATACTGAGCATGGCGTCACATGGTATGGAATGTCCCTTTGGCCAGTTTGGGTCAGCTGTCCTGGCTGTGCCCCCTCCCAGCTTCTTGTGCACCTCCAGCCTTCTCAGTCGGTAGAGCATGGGAAGCTGAAAAGTCCTTGATTTAGTGTAAGCACTACCTAGCAACAGCTAAAACATGGGTGTGTTATCAACATTATTCTCATACTAAATCCAAAACACAGCCCTGTACCAGCTACTAGGAAGAAAATTAACTCTACCCCAGCGAAACCAGGACACAAATTGAATTCATTTACGGGAACAACTTCTATGTGCAGGTCTGTGCTTGCATTTCTCAAAGATCTTTGACAGGCTCCGAAGTGTTACACTTTTTTTTGTTCTTTCTGTGGTCATGCTTGCTTTGTGGAGCTGGTTTGTCTTTTGGGTCCCATATGGTCCCTCATAGTTTAATACAGCGGGCACTGGGCGTGGTGATGAAGTTTGGAACTTGAGAAACCAGAGTAGGGGCAGTGATATGTGAATTCCTTATTGTAGTGACAAATGTAGGGCAGCCATCATGGGTCAGACCGGCGGTCCAGCTAGTCAAGTACCTTGGCGGCAACCGCGACCATGAGTAGGCACCGAGGGAAGGGTACATATGAAGCAAATACATATGATCGTTCAAACTTCAAGACCTCAAGTATTTTTAGCTCAAGACGTTTCCTGAGCAGGAGGATACTTCTCTCTGGTTAATAACCCTCAGTGGATTTGTCTTCCGAGTACTCATGCAGCTTCTCCTTGAATCCTGTAGACTTTTCCCTCCCAGGACCTTATGCCACAGATGGGCCGTGCACTGCAGGAAGAGCTGTGGGTTGATCATAAACTCTGGAGCCAAAATACTTTGTTAGCCAAATGGTATCCATGATCTGAAGAGTCTGGTTATTTACACCTGTTCCAACTGCCCTCAACTAGTATGCTGTTATGACGGCTGCTTTTACATGGAGATTGACTGCTTTTGCACAGCAGAAAAACTCAAGCCTAGGGAATAGCAGTGAGTGTTTGTGTAGAGAAACATACCCCGCATGCCAGCAACTGTAGCGCCTGCTACCAACCATAAAACAAGCTACAGGAACCTGGAAGACTCGTTAGCGAAAACTTGGATGCTCTCTGTGAATTCCCAATGCTCCTCTCATCTAGCACTCCTGTTCTTAATGTCCGCTTGAGATTCTCTGAGCATTTGCAAACAAAAGCAAGTAAAACCTCTCAGTGCTCCTTGAAAGCTAGGAATTGCCACCATTCCCATCTCAGGTGGAGAATTCTGGAGAGGTTTAGCCACCCCCAAACTCTTGGATGCAACAGAGACAAGAATCCAGACATCCTATCGCTCTGGTCACTGAATAGTACATTTCTGTTCATTCTTGCCTTTGACCAAAGGAATGCCAGCATGTAACCTACACATCATTATGTAGCCATATTTCTCAATTGCACCAATTGAACTAGATATTAATTATATCTATATATATAATATATGCTATATAGTATAGCATATATTAATTGCTGTCTGGGGAGCTGGTCTGTTTTTTCATTATTTTATTCTTGCTGAAGGCAAATGAAATGTTTTTGTTCCCTGTTCTAAGCAGGCAAGTAGATACTGTGCTTGAACTGCTGTGTTATTTTGCAAACCTAGGTTAGCACGCTAACCTAAGCATGCTAACACACATATTACTTACACTGTGCAGTTCCTATAAATGCACAATATTAGGCATTTGTGAACAAGAGGAAACATGCTTTTTCACACCTCTGCCTTGAGAGCCGGATTGTTCATGCTCCATTTCTCCCTGGCTGAAGCATGGTGTTCTTATGTACACCAGACATTTACAGCAGCTGAACAGCCTACTTTGTGCAGTAAAGGACAGGCAGGAGGGCAGAGATAGTGTCCCATGTACAAAAGAAAGGACGAGAAGGGCAAAGAATAGTTCTGTTTTCCTCTCCAGTGTTGTCAGGGAAAGGCTGGTGAGGATCACTAACAGGCTATTACAGATGGGTCATGTGAGCGTGAAATAATGGCTAAATGAGGTCTCTGACATTAGCAAGTGGAGATGTGAGTTTTAAGCAGTCTACCTCACTGCTGTAGCATTTGCTTGGTTTTATTCAAGGACTCCATTATCAGAATGTTTACTAGGCAAAACAAAATCAAAGCCTACTATTTAAAGCCCAGATGAAATTATTTAAAATTAAACATGTACTAGATAAGGTTGCGGAGTGTCCTAGTAGTTCTGTGCTCTCTGTACTGCTTTGTCTTTCCAGAAGTCTCCAGCACCTTGCTGAAGAGCAGTAGTGTATTTGCCTAACTATGCCTGGAAAAAAAATATCTAGACTCCACTGCCTAAATGAGAAGAGGTATGTTAAGATGTGAGATCCCTTAACTGTTGCATTTTATTATGGCTCTCATTCATTATTGCACAGACTGTCTGCTGGCACAGGATTCAGTGATGATTAGTAGGCATATACATAATTACTTTAATGATAATTAATGCTGCAATTTTCCAGTGCAAGATGTTGTCCTGTTTCTAATCCGCACTGGTATGTTTATTTAATTCCTTTTGCATGCAGAATAGCCTGGCAATTGAGGGATTTGGCTCAATCTTCTGCTGCAGCAGATAGTGCAGCTCTGAAGTTAGTAGAGGCAGGGTGATTGACACCAGCTAAACATCTAGTTAATGAAGTACAGGTTCACTAAAACATGCTATATAGGTGGTGTGATTTTTAAGGATCTGGGAAAATTCTTTCTGGAGGAATCAGCTGGGATAAGACTGGAAAACTTTGCTGGACTGGTAGTAGCATGGAGCAGCTTGTTTGCATGAAGAATTTGATGCCAAATACAGTGTTCACCTTGTTCTGCGTTCCTCTGCATGCTTCTGTCCTTTTCCTCCTCAGTCAGTACTTCACTGGATATAACTATTAATGGGACTTACTTTTCTGTTCCACAGTACATGATAATTTAAATAACTGTTAGAGGTCCAACTGTATATTGTTAACCCTGGTAAGTATGGAGCTGGAATCTATTCCTAGATCAAAACTTGCAAAACTGGGGAAAACTTAGATGAAAGAATCAGACCTTCCTATTAATAGCTATATCCAGTGAAGTAATGACTGAGGAGCTCTACACTTACCAGGGTTAGCAATATGCAGTTGGACCTTCAACAGTTATTTAAATTATCACGTACTGTGGAGCAGCTGGATAATTGTGAATAGTTTTTAAAGTATTCCCCCTCTCCCCCTAAAATGTGAGAGGAATCGGATTTCCCTCTGGACTGCACAACTTTAATTTGTTTGTAGTAGTGAAGGAACATTTGTTTGAACAAGGATTTCGGAATGCATTCGCTGTTTATTTAGCATGGGAGCAATAACTCAGTGCACATCAGCCAGCCTCTGCAAAGAGACAATTTTGGCATTTACTGCACCCCATCAGGGGATCTTCTGTATTCCCCGGGTTTCAGTAAATACTGTCGGCCCCTGAAGTTGGGCGTTTCATACAAGATCCAAGAGCCACCTAAAACATTGAGGGAGCAGATCTTGGGGAGATGGATGTAGCCTGGGACTGATGGGCAATCATCAGTGAGCTCCAACATTTGGCCTTGGAGCTCCTCTTTTTCACAGAGCTGAATCTTGTGGGAAACAGAATTCTGCAGTGGCAAACACAGCAAAAATGTAGGAAAGACAGAAATTTAACTGATTCTGACATTACTGAACAAGACAGACATACAGAAAAAGGCAACTTTCCCAGCTACTATGTGCATTTCTGAGAAATAGTGCTCTGTTCTGGAGATGGGATTGCAAAGAGATTCACTCTTTTGGAGCTAATAGAGGTTTAATTCTTACCCACATGGAGGAGCTCAGGAGTGCCAGCAAATGGGTATGATCACGTGTGGTAGGAAGTAAATGGAGAATGCTTTATGATTTGAAAAAATGGGATTTATAAGGACTCTATATTGTAACAATAGGACAAAAGGTATTCATGTGACTTTGAGATGATCTGTGGTGCTTACTCATGACCAGGCATGAATAATGTGGATTTTTCAGAATTATGCTACTAAAAGATATTTACCATGTTACTCCATATGCTCCTGTAATACTCTGGTGCGCAGGCAATTGCCATGTGGCAAACTGCTGAGCTATGTGGAGCATGGGCATGTGGAGTGTTCTGCTGCTATGGCTTACGCTGTATAGTATATCTTACTAACCAGAGAAGTACTTTAGCAAGTATTAATTCTTTGCCTGATTTTAACCAACACAGTTTTTATGTTAGGAAAGCCGTATCCATTGCAAATCTGATTTAACATGTTCTTGTGTCGTTGAATCATAACATAGTATGGTCATGAGCAAGTTGCATACATCAGTTTACAGCAGAACTGCCTGTCAGCTGGCCCTGCTAGCCCTTCCCTGAGCAATGTAAAAACATTCTCTACCTAGAAACAGTCACTCAGCTTTCTTTTAGCATCTCCAAGTTATGAACAGGCCCTGGAAATAGCACTGATATTAAACAGATTATTTCCTTCCTCTCCAGTGAAACTTCGCATTGCCTTACCGAACTTTGCCTCTCTCTGGAGTTACTTGGAGAGACTGTATAACTATATTCTTAAAGGGTAAACCATAACCAATTTCTTAAACTGTGATACACTGCCGAGCAGAACTCGCGTGTAGGATTACATGGCAAGACCTGATGGACTTGCAGAGACTGAACCACTTCTGGAAGTCAGGATAGTCTCCCCTTTTTAAAAAGTGCTGGTGTCCCAAGTAATTGGGGTTCTTGTAAATCATCTAGCTGCCTTTTTCCACCTGGATGGAATTGCATTGTTTCACATAGGACCGCAGGTCAAGGTGGTCACTGCTACATTCATAGTGGCCCCGGAAGCTCTTGTCTTCATAAAAAATGATTTGCAATATAGACATTTGTAAAGACTTATAGCCCATCCCAGTGTCTGTGGCAGAGCAGAGTACTGGCATTCTGGGGCTTCCACTTACCTTTCCCATTTTTGGCAGTTTGCTGAGGTGAAAGCTGAGAGCTGTGAGCAAACACTGTGGTTGCTTTTATATACCATAGTCCTAATGCTGCATCTGCAAAAAGTAACACAAAAGGGCCCATTCTAAGCTGTGGGGAGATCTCATGTTTTGTTTTTACAGCAGTTATGGCATTTATAGCATTTACCATGTGGGACTCATTTTCTGGGTCTTGGGCTGCATTTGCTCGTGCTGTGTGCAAGTGAATTATTGTGTAACTGTGGAGTGGACTACACTTTCAGCTGGTATCAACTATTTCATGTGGGGCACCTGACCCAACAGGGGATGTGTGTGTAAGAATGGTTCTTTACAGAACCTCCTTTTCCTGAAAGCTATCGAACCCAGTGGACCTGAGCAGTTTCTGGTGTAGGTCTGTTCCTCTCCTTCCCCACTCTGTGTGGCTTACCTCTTGCCTAAGTTTGTCCCATGGTATTTGTTTAATCGTTCCTTTTGTGAGAGCAGATGAACTTTGCTTCCATTTCAATACTTTGTCCTGGAAACAGGAAAAGTCTCCATCTCACGTGGTGGTGTTAGCTTTTGCCTACTAATCCCCTTTATTGTGTACAGATTTTAACACAGACGTGCTAGGAGGAAATAGTGATTAAAAGTTTCAGTCCCTTCCTGGTGTGTGGTTAACTGCTGCATATCTGAAGACTAAAAAGACTGAAATCAAATGGTTCTTATTAAGTGTTTATCAGTGTATCTGTGTTACTGGCTAACATTATAAATCAGTTGGTTCAGTTTTTTCCCTTTGAAAGTCTGTTTTAAAAATTCAAAAGGAGCAAGCTGCATTAAACTCAAGTTGCTCTCTATCTGGAACCAGGAAGGATTGTTGTTTAACACTAAATCAGAGTGCTTTAACACTAAAGCACAGCTAGTAGGTTACAGAAAACTGTATTCCTCCCTTTTGGAACTTTTCCTCTGTTGTTTTTTTCTTTGGTGCAGGGCTGGAACAAACCTTGACTTGTTCTATTCTGCTAAAATCTTAGACCTAAATCTTAGACTCCTAAAAACAAACTGCTTCATGGAATATGCAAAGCTGGTTATACAAATGTCTTATATCACCAGTAGGTGAGGCTTCAGATCGAAAGAAACTACTGTACTCCAAAACCAGAATTGTAATCTTATGTATTTGGGGAAACTCATTCAAGCATGTAAGGGCCTTGTCAACATGATTCGTCAGTTAACTTGGTATGCAGATGAACACCTTTGTAGATCTAATTTATTTAAAAGAGCTCTATTTGCAACTACATAGTCTTCACCTCCAGTGGAACAAATGTTTGTGGCTGTAAGGAGAGAGAACAGGGGAAGGTTTGGGAGACTTGGAGTGGAGTGCATCTTTGCTTACAAGGTCTCAGGCCAAAGAAAAGGGCTTTCAGTGCTGTGGCAAGAAAGGAAAGAGAAAGATGAGGGTGTCTTCTGGGGAGACGGATAGGAGGAATATGAAACCTCCCCCTTCACATCCTTCCATCACAAACCACTTCACTGATGTTGTTTTTAACTGTATCCTTATTAAATTACAGGGGCTAATGTGCACTCACCATTTCCAAACAGGTTAGATACCTTCCTGTCCTCTTTAGTACATTCAGCCCTATTCTTCTGAGCTTTCTGGGTTACCTCAGACCACCTGCCTTCATCCTGTTGGATTTCCTTGACATGATGTTTGCTTGACTGTTGTACTTGACTTGATGTATTGTTGCTATTACTGTAAGTACACTGCTCAGGGCTTGATTTTTGTCTGCAGGCCGGATGGGTTGCTGACCTGTACTCAATGGAACTGGCAACAGGTAGTGTGAGCATGCACAAAATACTCAATACAAAAAGTTAGTGGAAAGTTGTCACAGTGCTTTAATGTCACATCTGACTCTATTTCAAAGCGTAATCCCTTGTGTATAGAATCATAGAATCATTTAGGTTGGAAAAGACCCTTAAGATTGAGTCCAACTGTATGGCAAACTGGTGGGTAGATCTTCAGGAT